TGCCACACTCCAGGATCACAGCTTTGCCCACCACCCCATAAACGTAAGTGTCCTGGTAGACCACCTCCCAGTTTGGATTGATCTTTACAGATGAAGTTGGGACAGGATACACTGACGTGCCTGCAAAAGGGTCATGGAGAAAGATGGTGGTGTCATGTTGGTGTCACCTTGCTGGTTCTGCTGCAGGTTTGATTACACTGCAAGTTTCAGGAGAGGTTTACAGAACTCCAAAACAAGTGTTGTCAATGCTATCTCACTTTATTTTCAAATGCAACTTGGAAAAATGTTTTACCGTTTCTTTTTCTCTGAAATGATACTCATGTCTAATTGTCATTAAGCAAATATGGAGGAAATAACAGCACAACAATGGAGAAAAAGTAATGATTTAATTGTACAAGTTATGTTGGAAGAAATCTGGAATGGGATCCTTTTAAAAGATTTTTATTTGTGGCATTTATGGTCAAAATACAGTGGAAGTGGAACGAAAAGGATGCAATCATCTGATAAATTTCTTGTTTATAATTGTATTTAACTATTTCTTACAATTATTCTACACACTGACAGATGATGAGAATAATACCTTTTATTTGTAGGTACCAAAAGAAAAATCATGCTAATCAATGTCAAAATAACATTGCGCATAAAAGGATCATCAAATATTTAGAAGCCAAAAAGTCATTTTAAAAATGAATTTGTTGTTTGTAACTGAATTCAAACACTGTCAAGCCTTACCTTGTGCAGAGAAGGTGAATGGAGTCGTGAGATAAAGAAAGGCCAGCCCTAACAGTTTGGCCACCATGGTATCATGATGATCCTGAGTCCAGCTGCTTCTTTACTCCGAGAAATACTGTAGAGCACAAACTGAAAAAAAAAAAACAAGAACTCCAAAAAGAACTGCAAACACCGAGGCTGTCCGGCTGAGTCACGGTTTCTTATCCACAGGTTTCTTCAAGAGTCCAGTTGGAGGCACTGACTTCATTAGGCTGAGAGTAGGAAGAGACTGATTTAGATTCAATTATTGATGTGTTTTTCCTTTCTCTCTAGTTCCCCGTACTTCTCTGTGGGGTTAGAATGACGCTGCGTTACTGGACTCCTGTATTATGTAGGACTGACTCATAGGGTTACCCTTCTGCATACACTCATGCATGTTAAATAATACAAAGTCAAGCCTGCATTATATAAATCTGACATCTATAGTGCTAACATGAGCAATTCTTCCTGCAGGACAGTCATATGCTGAGCAAAACGGCATAAACAATTATATTACCTTTTCCACGATTTATTTTCAAAAAGAAATGTTTATATTTCTAGATCATGATGCAAAATATTCATACCCCGTGTCAGCATGATTTGATGTATTTTGTTGGTGAAATGACTGCGAAAGGAGTACATTGTTTTTAGATTTTTCACTGGAAATTTCTCTGCCAATCAACGCTGTTTCTGCTGCATCCACACATCATGACACAGCCCCTTCCCTACTTCATCAAAGGCATAGTGTGTTAAGGATGAAGTCAGTATCAGTTCTCCTACATAAAGAGTTTTGCATGTAGACCCAAACATTAAATCTTGGTATCATCTGTCGCGAACCCTGCTTTTCACATATTTGCACGGTTTCATGTTACATAAAGGCCAGATTTGTTGAGTGCAAAACTAATATCTTGTCATCAGATTGTCTCACCTGAGCAATGGGTCTTTCCAGTTACTCCAGAGTTGCCTTAGGCTTCTTTTCTGCTTCTTGTTACATTACTTACTAATTACATTACTTTATTTAGTGGTATCAGAGCAGAATGTATTTGTACAATGTGTTTTCTTTCCTTTTCCCATTTAAGCATGTCTTTGTGTTGTCCTGTCACCACAAATCTTGATAAAATACAGATATAAAGAAGTTCTGAGGGCATAGTTTTGTAAAGTAATGCATTTACAGTGAGACTGCAAAAGCAACACGTTATCATTTCGACCACTGAAGAAGATGAACTAAGGCATAAGTTTGTCGTATTTTTTGAAAATGCTTAGATTATTTAGATAAGCAGAATTATGTAGGTGAAGACAAAAAACATAATGTTTTACAAATAGCAAGTAAATGATCACATTTACTTGCTATGTGCTTCTTGTTACATTACTTACTAATGGTTTTCAGTCATTTTAGCAAACTGTCCAGCCTGTCCTGGCCTGCATCAAAGTGTTTCCTGCCCAGTCCTTCTGACCTTTACTCTGCCTTTGAGCACCTGACACCTGCATCTGCACTTCAGGAACATTACATGTCTGGGAGATAGTGCCACTGATATTGAATAGTTCTCTCTTAGTCTCTTTAGATCCAATTCATTAAAGTGTTAATAATATGTATGAAGTTTAAAATTTTGCAGCTCTGTTTGAAAAAAGAACAGAGAAGCCGTTAATACTCAAGCAGGGAATCAAGTTGAGGACAGAACACTGTGGGGAAATAGACTTAGTACATGTGTTTATAATATATTTATAGTTTATATTTATTTTTGCAGCTATTGATGTTACCTTAGGATTACACTTATTTTTTTTACTTTTCAAATGTTTTAATATAGTTTTGTTTTGCTTTAATAAAAATAAGTTGAGTGAGCGATTTATGCAAGACACAACAAAAGACTCCACTGCAAAGGAAGTGAGTTCCAGAGTCTAGGGGACAGTGAATCTTTTATGTACAGCTTTGAATAGAGCATCATCAGCAGGTTCTGATTATTAAAGAACCTTTGCGCACCTGCCAGGAAAGTATGGATGCGGACGTCCTCTTGTGTAACCTAATGCTTGGCCATGGAGAGCTATCAGAGTCAATGGAGGACCTCAAAGGTGCGCTCTGAAACAAAGTGGGAGCCAATGGAGTTCACTACTCACTGTTTGGCCCACTTTTCTTTACAAAGCTGCCAGGAACGTTGTAATCATGGAAGAAGGTGTTCTGATCAGACTGAAAACTTCAGCATAAATGCAAAAGTGACTTTGGAAAATTAATCTGGCTTTTCTTCAGCAGAAACAAAGTGGATCAGAGTTGATGGAAAGGTAGATTAATTAAATACAGGCAGTCTTAGGAGAAAACCTCTTAGAGGCTGCAAAAGGTCAGGTATTATGTTGGACGTTGACCTTTCAGTAGGGCAGTGACACTAAAAAGCTAAATGTTTTAGTTCAAAGTATGGTCATGTGTCAGAATAATTAAATCAAAATCAATTCAGACTTCTATTGAGAACCTGTAAGAAAACTTGGAAGGTATTTTATGAAAAGTTAAAGTGGGTGTCAATACTTCTATTGTATAAAAATATAAAATCTTTGGTATTTGTTTCATTGATGTCGTACAGTCACACGACCTATTACATTCTGCACAAAAAGAATAATACAAAGTTGCAAAAAAGCAATAGTGAATTGATATCTCCATGACTAACCCCATTAAGTCCAAATAAAAAGCTTCACATTGGAATCTCTAAGGTCAGGAAGGATTAAAGAGGCACAGGAAACTCTTTCAACCAGATTAGGATCTGAATAGATTTTAAAAATCAGGCATCTGATCACAATTCTGTGTGCTCACAATGTTCATCTTCATGGATGCACCTTTTCTGAATTATGTGTTTCATTTTAATAGGAGACTAAGCAAGCTTATACAAGTGAAAGAGGAGGAAAGACTGTTAAGTGGATCCGTGAGAATGTAATGTGAGATGTTTTTCATGAATGAATGCAGGACAGAGATCAGTTTTCGTTACCTGGCAAGGGCAAGCAGAGACTCAAAGGTAAGGTTAACAGCGCTACAAGGTTTCAGTCTACAGCTGATATCCATATGAAATGTAACAAATTATATTAAATAAAATGAGAAACAACACAGCCATTGTGTTTCTTTTAATCTACTCTAAAGACACAATGTGCTCTTAATGTTATAAATTGTTTATGCAGCAAATGTAAATTTGAAACTGTTTCAAGTTAAGGTGGGAATTTTCCACTCAAATCCTATTTGGGATTTTTAGAAACTGGAATTTTAGGAGTTACTAGAAACTGAAAACTGTTGTTTTGAGCTGGAACACATTTACTGTTTACATTCTAGGATTTAATTCTAAACTATTCGTGTATTAGCTCTGTTTTAGCAGAGCTAATACAGCTAAAAGCTCAAAATAACTTTCCATGTTTGACCATGAAGGTGACATCTGAAGGTAAATTCATCCTGTGTTAGTTGGGATCCAGTTCACTGCAGAGAGGGATTTAGAAACTCCCAATTCCTTACCAATGCTTTGCTGCTTCCTTCTGTCCTACTTTAATTTTATACCTATAAATAAGCCAGGTAAGTTTTTATGAATCGTGTTTATTATCATTCATAAACTACTAAGAATCTCACTTGTAATTTAATTTAGTGCCATTATTACTACACACAGTTTCTATTTTTATTCCTTGTTTTGGCCTTTGACTCAACATTTTGATTAACACATCTTAACACATTTGTTATGGAAAACCAGAATTTACAGAACCCATAATTTCAATCATTTTCAGATCTCTTCTGTGTGTTAAGTGATGGAATAAGTAAAAACATGGCAATATGAGGCCACTGAAAAAAATATTTTCCAAGTATTGGATTTTGCCAGACCACATGTAATTAAGTTGGAAATACACATCAGGAGACAGTAACACATACAACTTCATAAATGACATTTCAAATCGTGTCATTGTCTGAAATTACACCACCTCAATCTGAAATTGGAAAGTAAAAGCATTCATCTTAAAATTGAGAGGAAGGAAGTCTTCCTTATTTTAATGTCATTTTACAGATTCAGTGCAGAAAAAAACAAAACATTTCCCAGATATTTAATGGGGAAAAACATCTAGTGTAAAAATGCTGAACATTATGTAAAACTGACTTTTGATTTAAATAAACAAACATGTTTGATATGAATTAAGCATAATTTAACCATGTTCAAAAACATACATATAATTTTGTGACAGACAGTCTTGGAGATAAGTTTGCATGTTGTAAAAATAAAAACACACTTTCAATGTTCTGGGAAATAAACATAAAACCTTATGTTGTGAATTTTCTGTAAAGGTGACATTCAAACATATATCTTTCTTTTTTTCTGGCTTCCTACATTCCTTCATATTCTGCAGCTGTGGAAAAGTTAACTAAAAAATAAACCCCAGTCACTACCTAAAGAAGCAAATCATTTCTTAAAATAAATTGTTCATACATTGATAAAATGTATGACATGTGTGATAAATCAAACTGCCTACAGTTTATAAAAATGATACGGGATTTAATAATACCCAATGATTTAGATTTATGCAGTTATGATCTTGCAGCTGGCGCAAACGGCAGTGAGTGGCTCATTGCGTTACTGCGGTGGGAGATGCTTGCCTGCAGCAAGAAAAGATGATGCCTTTGGTTCTGCTGAAGTTGTACCTGGAAAAAACAGTAATTATTCAACAATTCTCTATGAATGTTCAAGACGGTGCTTTATTGTCCTGTTTTTATAGTGTGATGACATTTAGATTCTATCCTTGGATTGATCAAAAATGTGTTTGATATGACTTTTTCTTGCCTGATCCAGTCGTGTTCTCTCGCCCACCATCTAAGTCAGCAACCACCTCATCCTCTGGGAAGTTAATATTTTCTCTGGATTGGCTGTGCTGCCTGGAATAGCAAGAAAAAAACAAATAAAATGTCTTTACAGAGAATCATGTAATGAACCAAAGCTGCCTTATTTGTCTGGAGATAAATGCCTAAATACTCACGAGCCAAAAAGCATTGCATGCAGTCCTGAGGAAAGAAAGCAAAAACTGTTAATATAGCACAACATATTTTCATGTCTATATTAAAGTGACATTTCAGAATATTCTTTCAAGGCTTCTACTGACTTAAAACAACTCCAGTCCCCAAAATGTTACGGGGTTTGTGCAAACAATATTTGTGCATTTTTGTAATGAGCATCTTGTTTGCATTTGGCAGTTATAAACAGAGAAACCATCAATTGTTTACATAGAAATTGGAGGTAGAAGATATCGCATAAGCAATGAGCTTCCTGTGTGCCACACATGCTTTTAGCAGAACATGTTAAACATATTAGGTCAAACAAATGTCTGATATAATGGTAAATCAGTATGAAAATGAAACTAAATGTCTTTACTTACACTATTTTTGCAATTTACATCTAAATCAGTTGGCAGATACCCTCTAGTTTCCACTTCCTGTATAGTTAATAATTAGTTATTTCGCTAATAAACACCTAATTCTAATAGTTAAAACATTTCTAAAAAGCATATACTGCTTGAAATTTTTTAGAACTTGAGTTTTTAAAGACAGTAAAAGCCTGCTTTGGTCTTGGTCTTGATTTCACTAGCCATGAGCTTTGGCCAACACTACAAACATATCTGGATTTATACTAAACTAAAATGCAAACAGAGTTTTTAAGGACAAAATAGACACAGCCTATAAGTTTTTCAAAGAGCTTTTAATGTGGGGGACTTACGAGGATTGCTATCCCGGTTACGTATGATGAAAACAAGCAGCAGCACAGTAGGAATGGCTGCAAAGAGCATCCCACCAACAGCTGCTCCAACCACAGCAGGGTACATGTTGTCACGCAGTTCCACTGCAAAAACATCACAGTTTCACAAAGATTAAATATAAAAAGCTTTTTCTCAATGAAAAAACTTCACATCTATAACTGTCTCACCAAGTTTCTTTTCAGTAGAATCACCTCATCACTCTGAAAGTATGTTACCAATATCCCATTATGGCCATTAACTATGATTTTTTTTCTGTTTAAATTAGAATTTTTGTTAATTATCTGTTACTGAGATTTGCTTCTTAAACCAATCATAAAATAGTGTTATCCTTGTTATCCAAAACAATAAACAAATAAATTCTGCAGTTATTAAAAAAACAGAAACTTAAATGGATGTATTAGAAAAAAAACAAAGAATAATGTGAAGGGGAAGCAAGTGAAAAATGTAAAGTGTATGTCATCATTTCCAGAGGTGGGGGAGAGTACCAAAAAATGTAGTCAAGTAAGAGCAGCATTAATTTTTACTCAAGTAAAAATACAAAGCAGCCATCCAAAAAAGTTACTCAAGCAAATGTACATATATTTACTTGATCATTTCTTTCAGATAATTTCATTGAGAGAAAATACATTTGGCCAGGCTTTCTACATTTTTTCTTCATTACCTGGAGTTTTTGTTGAAGACGGGTGTCCGACGGTGCGGTGGTTGATGGGTGTTATGCGGAACTGGTAGGTAATGGTTGGAGTCAGGCCTCGAACTGTGTGACTCCTGCTGCTTGGATCCTGGATGATGGTACGGTACCAGTCTTTGGAGGCAATCCTCTCCTCCATCTGCAGCTGTGAAATATGCTGCTCCCCTCTTGTTTGGTCGCTCAGACACCCACTGGTGCTCCAGGTGGAAACCAGTCCATCCTCCAGTCTCCCGTACCGTCGACCTGCCACTCCAGCTCCACCTCGTTACGCTGTCGGCTGTTGTACGTCGCTCTGATCAGGGTCGCGTTGGGCGGCATGGGGTATTCTGATGCAGAGGCAAAGCAAAAAGAAATGTGCCCTCAAAACTGGTCTAGTAATATTATTACAAAATTTAGACAATCCAAAGAGATTCCTACTCTTGACCACCAGGGTGATGTTGATCTCAGCGCCTCCCACTGCGTTTGAAGTGGAGCATCTGTATTCTCCGCTGTCCTGCACCTCGTCGTTTCTCTCACAGTCAGGTTGGCCCAGGCAGACGTCCGCAGCAGCATGTACTTCGAAGTGTCTCGGACATCCAGGCCCTGATTGTTGAACCAGGTGATTTCATTGGCTGGAAGGTAATTAGCTCTCAGATTGCAGGTGAGCTGGACGTCACTCCCCTCGTACACAGAGATGACTCTGCGCTGCGTCAACAACACCGGGGCCTCTGAAAATGGAAGATATTAAGTCATTTTTAAAACAAAAATCTCTGGTGCTGTTTAGTGTTTGGTACAGTGGTTGTTACGACTGACCCAGTGTGAGCCTACAACTCTTTGCTTCCACCAGAAGTGGGTGTTTAGCGTAGCAGGTGTACGGTTTCCCACTTCGGGCCGTCCCATAACGGAGGACCAGGATGTTGGAGTTTTCTTGTCCCCCTTTGCTTTGGCCCCCTGGTCCCTCCCACCACACTAGGGCCTTTGGGGCCCCTCCATCCCAGGAGCAGGACAACATCAGGTATTGCTGAGTGTTTGTGACATAGGCAAAACACACCGGTTCTGCAGGAGGAATGTCTGTAAGGATGTGAAAAAAGTAAAGTCTTAATTTTAACAACAGCTTTTCAGTGTTGATGATTTTGTTTTATGTGTGAACCTACATGTATGCGCCCTGCATTCTGCTTGCTCTTTTCTGGCAGGATGTGCACCAATGCAAGTGAACAGGCTGTTGTTAGGAATCCTGCCTTCAGACGGCAGCAAGATGGCAGCACTGTTTTGTAGATTTGTTTGCAGTTCTGTTTCCTCCTGTTCCGCTTTCATTACATCCCCAGTCCAGTGAAGGGACGGAGAAGGGAGTCCACCAGACCATGAGCAGAAAAGACTAAGAGACGTATGATTCTGAGCTGCTTCCACAGAGCAGGAGGGGGCGCCAGCTGGAGGGTCTGTGGGAATTTAGTATAGATGAGTGTGTCAGAAAAAATATCATGCTCAGTTGAGTAGATTGTTTAGGTTTTCTTTTACCAACTTTGTGATCTGTGTCGTAAATTATTTTATGAGGAATAAAAGGAATAGAAATTAATTACATAGGCACAACAGAAGGAAGGTAAAATTGGGAGGATGAACTATATATGCACTTGACTTTACCTCTCACTGTTCATGGACAGATGCATCTCCATGTACAGCATCGATTTGAAGTACTGGGTTCAGATTTCATTTGGTAGACTGAAATAACGTTGTGTCATTTTCCAGTTATAGATGTAAATTAAAACATTTAATCTGAAGTTCCACAAGGCTCTTAATAAATAGCATATATTATCATATGTATTCTGATGACTTTTGAATTTTGGACTTTATATTTTTGTGTCTCCATGACCGCAGTTTTTTACAGTTAATAATGAAAGTAAGTGCATCATGCTAATGAGCGGGAAGGTAGGAATTTCTTCAAGCTAAATGTAGAAAGGACTGAGGTAAGTAGATTCATTGAGATTAACTTTGGGGTTGGTACTGTCTCAGATTTAAATTTTAGTTCCTGCAGAAAGTGCGTTATTAAATCAGGCTACTACCATCCTTAAAAATAAATCATAGAATGAAGGGTTTCCTTTCAATGAACTGATCTAAGGTAGTACACAAAATGAAAATAGGAACCAGCTACACTAAACAGGAGTAAATAAAAACAGCCAGTCTCACTTTGACTACATTCACACTGCAGCATGAAGTGACCCAATTCCAATCAGATTTCTTTAGCTGTGGTCCTTCACACTTCCAAACATGTGCGACCAGTATGTGTCTCCAGTGAGGAATGCAAACGACCTGAAAGTGTCTGGCATGCGCAGTAGAGGGCGCAATAACGTCTCACATGAGAGAGTCCCCTCAGTGTTCTGCAAACCACCATAAAAAAGGAGTGTTTGCAGAAGTAAACGGGGATGCTAACGATGGAGCATAGCTTTCGATTTTTAACTTAAAAAATTGAAGTTGTTGTCCTATCAGAGCCAGCATATTAACAACTTAATCCTTACTATAATCTGTCATGGTTGTTGTTTTTCTTCCCACTTATACGGAATAGGGATATTTGTCGAGTATCAATGACGTTCAGATCGGATGAATGTGACCTGGCCGTCAGGGTTCAGGTCACATTTGAAAAGATCGGATGCGCCTGTGTCGGATATCCAGGTAGCCAGGGTCGCTTTCGAAGAAAAATCCAACCTGTGTTGACTCTCATGAAATGATCAGATACAGGTCGCATTAAGGCAAACAAATCAGAACTGGGTCATTTCAGGCTGCTCAGAATTGTTATCATGGTTTCCATTTTTGTCAATGTCAGAGGTCACACTCACAGTAGACAGTAAGGCTGATGGTTTTCCTGGAGCGTGTGTTCAGGTGTGAGTTTTGTGCCAGGCAGGTGTAGTCACCAGTGTGCACACGGAGGATCTTGGCAATGGTGTACTGTGGTCCGGTGAACACCTGAGAGTTGTTGTGGAACCAGATATACTGACTGGCTGGATTGGACTGGGCTTGACATGACAAAGAAACCGGCTCAGTTTCCAGAGCTGAGAATCCTCGATCTGTTATACTGTATGAAGTCACGTCAATCTGAGGAACATCTGGGCCAACTGGGAAAAAAAGAGCATGAACACAGTCGAGAGCTGAACGCCATGCTGAATGTAATAAATTGGCTTGTAAAAAAAGAAAAACAGTAGGTAATAAAGGCATGTGAAACTTGTTGGTAACTGTTATCTAGAGGTAAGCCTTATGAAATTTACTAAGCAGCATTTTGTAGAACTTTACATTTTCAGAATTTACATATTAACTTGATTTTGTTCTGTCAGAAATTGTTGTGTGTTAAGCATTTACTTATGAGAGCTTCTTTGTCAGAACTTACACGTACTTTGTTGTAATCGTTATGGAACTTACTGTTTACTTCCAATTAAAGTTTGGTAAAAGTATTAGGTTAACAAAAGATTATATACACATAATTTACCATTACTTACAGATAATGTCCAAAAACACCCAGTCAGAGTTTTCAGTGTTGAGGAAGTTGCTGCCGACGCAGCGATACCGGCCACTGTGGCTCCGGTTGACGTTGCTCATGGTGATAATGCTGCTGTTGCTGCCCTGAGCAAATGTGATGATGCTGCCTCTTTCAATTTCACGCTGCCACACATACTGGATTGGCTCAGTCCCATTTTCCACGTTGCACTGCATCTTTACTGTTGCTCCTGCCACTGGGAGTGTGTCTCTTATCTGGACTGATGGTTTACTGACAGGGACTGTGAAAAAACAAATCCAGCAACATATCAATCAAAGGCTCACATTTGGTATGTGAATATTTTATGTAGACTTAGTTGCATTTCAAAAATATTGCAATAACATAGTAAAACAGTGGCTATACATTTATTTATAGGTCAGGTTTTGCCTTGGTTTTTAAACTGCCTGTAACTGATAAATTTATGACAGTATATAAAATGTTATTCAAATGGAATAAGTAAAAAAATTAACATTTATGTTTTTATGTCTTACCAGAAATTATATGGCCTTGTGAAAAAAATATCCCCACACAGACAATTTTACGTTGTATCAACCATTTTCATCATCATAAAACAAACATTAAATACTTGAATGTACAAATCTGCAAGTCATTGAGTCCCAGGCTTGAGGTGGCAATCCAACTTTAAATGCTATGACTTTGTTATGATTCACACTATTGTGGTTGCTAGCATTTTACAGTTAAATTGAAGTGATTGGTTCTTCTGAATTCATGTATATAAATGAGAATTTATGGCGTTTAGTTTCACATAACAAGCAGTGTGTTTTTACAGAGATACATGAAAATTGGACTTCATCGGCAAAATATCTTTAATTCCCAAATCATTTTTGCTGTTTATGGTCATGAGCACTGACCCAATGTAAGTCCACAGGTTTTTGTTTGAGTCACAAGCGGGTGTTTAGCAGCGCATACGTAGGCCTTCCCAAACTGAAAGGCGCTGTAATGAACAATCAGAACATTGGCGCTCTCTTCTCCGTCTTTGCCCTGACCACCTGGACCTTTCCACCACAGCAACGCTTTCGGGAGACCTCCATCCCAGGAGCAGGACAGCACCAGAAACTGTTTGTCATCCGTCACATTGGCGAAACACACAGGCTCTGCAAAGGGGGTATCTAGAGTAGAGGGAATAAAACAGGACTGAATCATTTACTTTCTCTCGTCCATCATTTTTATTGAGCTTTGTGGACTCACATGTGACTGTGCTGCAATTCATCTGTTGCTTTAGAGCAGGATGGGAGCCATGACAGGTAAACAAGCTGCTGTTAGCAGTTAAACCTCCAGAGGGCAGCAAAACGTGTGCGCTCATTGGATTTATTTGTTGTCCTGCAGGGATCGGGTCTCCAGTCCAGTGAAGGGACTGGGAGGGGAATCCACCGGGCCAGAGGCAGAGCAGCTTAAGAGAGGTGTGATTCAGAGCCGGCTGCACGGAGCAGACGGGGGAGCCGTCAGGTGGATCTGCAGCAATTAAATATGTACAGCAAGAAGTGAGTCAGTGGGGAGGGAAGTGCACTAATCATTTATGCAGATTGACTAGCTGATGTAAATCATTTAATAATTTCCAGCTGTAGGTTGTCAGAACAGCAACTAGCTACATGAACCCATATTCACGACTGCCTGCATGGGTTAAAGAGCATTTAAATGTTTTATGAGGGTATAACTAGAAAGAAATTAAAAATATATACTTCTGTGTGTAAAATACTTTTATTGAATAAAGATCAAAAATACAGAGACAGATGAATTTGTCATTAATAAGATTGATTGTTATCGCTATGACTTAGAAAATATTGCATACCAAATGCTGTCTCGCAATTTATATCAAATCTGTCATAATAAGAGAAAATCTATTAAATCTATTAAATGTGGAAACATTATCACATTTGTATACAAATATATACAAATGTGATAGTCATTTAATTCTTAAGATTTCATACTCGTCTGTGAAACTCGGAGAATCCTTTTCAATAATTTGTTGAAAGTGAAGAAGTTTTGAAGTGCTTATCTGATAAATCCTTATAGGCGGTTAATATCAGCAGCATGTAACTGTATTAATGTCCCATCTGAGTGTAAATCTGTATTAAGTCAACCTTAAGACTGAAAGTAATGGTTTGTCTAAATTGGACCAACACCAAAGTGAATTTCCATCATCTTAAAAAAGCTAAAAGATATTAAAGTTACACTCCAATTTAAATATTTAAACAATGGTCATGTCTGCATAGAGATGGGAGGTGGTAAGGCATCAATAATATTCATGATTGAAAATGTATTGAGAGTGAAGAAAGCATTTGATAAAACTATTTGTGAATAAAATGAATGACTGCATGAAGTGGTTAAATCATATTAGGGATATGAGTTATTATTCAGATCGTCTTGTGATGATGGAAAGATGCTAATGTACCTTCTTGCTTTCAGGACTGTTAGTTTTGTGACTGAAACTAGAACTTAGGTTTTGTATAAAAACTGAACCAGCCATAACATCATATCAGAAAAAAATCTTCCGATTGATCAAGTTAAAATAAAGAAAATGTTCTGTTGAAATTGATAAAAATGTGATACATTTCACTTTTGCTTGCATGATGTTGTACTTCGACATATTTGGATCAAGGAGCCTGCAGGGATGCAGCATAGAAAGAGGAATGGTCTGAATTTTAAAGTCCCACTTACAGTAAACTGTCAGGGTGATGGTTTTCCTGGACTGCGTGTTCAGGTAGGAGTTTTGTCCCACACAGGTGTAGTCACCAGTGTGCACACGGAGGATCTTAGTGATGATGAGTTGCGATCCAGAGTACACTTCAGAGTCATTGTGGAACCAAACGTACTGACCGACTGGATTGGACTGGACTCGACATGTCAGTGAAACCGTCTCATTCTCTAGCGCAGTGTAGCCCCGCTGTACAACACTGGATGGAGCCACGTCTATCTGAGGAACATCTGGACCAACTGAGCAGAAATAACATGAACATTGTTTAGATCAACGCTGTCAATCATCTATGTTTAGGATGGGGCAGCTGTTAAGTTGGTAGTGGGTCATTAATCACCCAAAGACGATTTTGTTTTTCCTTTGGGGTAACACTTTATTTGACGGGTTGCGAATAAGACTGACACCGACATAAACATGACATAACACCTGTCATAAGTCTTTATGAATAATTATGACTGTTGTCATAAAGTGTCATTCAGTAAATCGAGACACTTTTAATACAAAGTTGACACGTTACGACAACTTGACATTAACCAAGAAATCATGATCTGACATAAATTTGTTATAAAAGTTTCACTGATTAAACTTTAAAAATTAAGTAGGTTTGTGGAACAAAATAAATTATCCAGATAGAAGATCCTTATATCTACACATATATAAAATAATCTGAGTTGTGTAAGTTGTTTTTCTTCTTCTCTTTTTCCTATCCAGGTGCACCTAGTAACTCATAGTCTCATAGAACAGATCTCCTTTGTGAAGGTAAAAGGGAGGACCAAGTCCAGCTGCCTGGAAGGGAAGAGATAACAAATAGTTACCCCCACTATGGGAACAGGATGAGATGCTCAACTTATCTGAGTGGCCTTGGAGGAAGCTAGGTAAAGGACGCCTCCGCCTCTGGCTGTCTATTTGGTTCAGAGTACCCCTGTTTATGTTATGCGTCCTAATTTGGTATTGGGCATTTGAAATGACTCCCACTTCCTGTGTGCCAAGAAATTGCATATGAGTCTGTGATTGTTTCAGCCTCCTCAGAACACACCTAGAGTTTGCTATAATTTTATCTGTGTTGTTCTCCACTTGCAAGTGATATTAAAAGTTTTTCTTCTTTGCACTTTTGCTGTCTCGGTCTCATCTCAGGAAATTCTGTGCATTTCAATAGGTTTATGTTATTAAAGCTAAAGTTTAATCAATTCGCGGATTTTTAACTTGAGGAGTGTTTTTGTCCTTCTGGAAGGTGAATCCAGTCCCAAATCTGTTTGCAGCCTCCATTAGGTTTCCTTCCATGACTGTCCTGTTTCAGTTCATTCTGAGTAGTTTTCCTGTCTCTGCTGAAGAAAAGCCTCCATTTCTCTGAGTCTTTAACAAATCAGCCTCATTTATGCTAATATCAAATTATATAGAGGGTAGCTTTTAATTAAGTTGTGGAATGCAAAGCAAATAAGGCAAATTTAGAACATTTAACACAAAATGAAGAGCACAGGGAAATAATTTAGTGGATCCTTTACTACTTACATGTGATATTGAGCCATAACTTTTCTGAGCTCTCTTTGTTAACGGCGTTTCCTGCAGTGCAGCGGTACCAGCCAGTCTGGTTACGGACAATGTTTGTGATATTAATGAAGGTGGTGTTGCCCTGTGCAAACGTTGTGAAGTTTTCACTATACAGTTGATGTTGCCACGTGTAATGTATTGGCTTAGTCCCATTTCCAATGTTGCAGTGCATCCAGATAGAAGATCCTTCCTTTGGGGACGCGTTGCTCATCAGGAGGTACGGCTTACTAACGGAGACTACAAAGAAAAGGAATCGCAGAAGTAAGGAGACAGAAGACAATATAGTGTTCACTGAATGAAAAGTTTCCTGTTCATGATGTGTGAAACTGAAAATTGCATTACTGAGCTATTCTACATTCACTCAAGGTATCAAAACACCCTTTACATTGTCATTCATTGTGAAAGAGAGACTGTATTGGCTGCTTAAGCTTCTTGTCATGCAACCTGCTTTGTACACTGTGTTCAAATCTTCACAGGAACATGTGAAGCAGCAGCCATGATGTTCAAAGCAAAATGTTTAGTGTATAAAGCTGGAGCATAACTTTTTCTGCACTTCAGCTGGAAAAATGTAAGTTTAGTCTGTGTCCTCAGTGAGAAAGGTGTTCAGAACCAAATGATAAATGATTTATTTGAGCATCAGAGTTGAACTAATTATGACCAAATGCTTGGTATTGAGTGATGAATTTTAGGGACAAATACAATCTTTTTTTATTTTTTTTAAAGACAATTAGCATGTTTCATGTAATTAAACCATAAAAATTTTTACATAAAGATAACTGTCAATTAATTTATGCTTCCCAGGTTTCTCTGCACATTTCCAAATGCATTGGAAGTAATAATTGATTGTTCTGTACAGTGAAGATGAGAACTGACCCAGTGTGATTCTGCAGGTCTTTGCTGCAGTCAGAAGTGGGTGTCTGGCATAACAAGTGTAGGGTTTCCCACTGTGGGCGGTCCCATAAGGAAGGACCAGGATGTTTGAGTCTTCTTGTGCATCCTTGCTTTGGTTTCCTGGTCCTTCCCACCACACCAGTGCTTTGGGTAGGCCTTCATTCCAGGCGCAGGACAGCATCAGATACTGCCTATCATTGGTCACGTTGGTGAAACACAGCGGCTCTGAGGGAGGGATATCTGGTGTGAAGAAAAAAAGAGGTGAAAAGTGCAAGTTTTCTGTCCAGTTAGTGATGAGAGATTTAATATTCTTATTCTGGTTCTCACAGGTATGTGTGCTGCACTTCGTAGGTTGTTGTAGAGCAGGATGGGAGCCGACGCATGTGAACCAGCTGCTGTTACGATTCAGCATCTCAGACGGGAGCAACATGACGTTGGTAGTTAGATGAGGTTGTTGCCCTGTGTCGACCTGTTTTTGTCTTGCCTGTATTGGGTCTCCGGTCCAGTTGAGGGACGGGGAGGGAAATCCTCCAAGCCAAGAGCAGAGGAGCCTGAGAGCAGTGTGGTTGAGTGCAGACTCCACAGAGCACACGGGGGAGCCGTCTGGAGGGTCTGCAGGACCAAAAATGAAATGTTCTAACACTGAAGAACTTGAGACTGACAACATAGATTAATGTGGGAAAGTGATGATTAATCAAATGTTCTGGTCAAAGGTCACACTCACGGTAAACGGTCAGGCTGAGGGTTTTACTGGACTGGGTGTGGAGGTGGGAGTTCTGGGCCACGCAGGTGTAGTTGCCAGTGTGGCTTCGGAGGATCTTGTTGATAGTAAGGAGTGGTCTTGTGTGAATTTTTGAATCATTGTAAAACCAGATGTACTGACAGCCTGGATTAGACTTGGCTTCACAGTACATGGAAACAGTCTCATTCTCCAGAGCGGAGTATCCATGCTTTGTTATATGGAATGGAATCACATTTATTTTAGGTTCATCCGGACCATCTGAAGACAAACAATATAAGCAGAGCGTCAAAATGTAGGTCAGAGATCGACAGCCTACTCAGAACAAAGATGCTTTATATTTGAAACAAACTCTAGAGGTCTTAGTAGATTGTCATGAGAGTGAAAAATTATGCTGCCTCGATAACATTTTTTAAAAGGTTTCAAAATTATTTTAAAAAATAATATTAGAAAAAGTTGAAGTGGAGCAACAAACAGGAGGAAAGCATTTTGATGCAATGTTTTTTTTTTTTTTTTATCTGCATCTAATAGGAAAATCCAAAATACTTACATGTGACATTTATCAATAAGCGGTCGGAGGTCTCATTGTTGACAGCATTGCTGACTTCACAGTGGTACCAGCCAGTGTAGTTCCTGCTGATGCTGGTCACAGTGATGATGCTGCTGTTGTTCTGTGATAAGTCAGTAATGTCTTCATTGAGAGTTTTATGTTGCCACCTGAACTGAAGTGGTTCAGAGCCATTTTCAACACTGCAGTTTATCCATATTGACGATCCTTCAATTGGAGAAGCTTCACTCATCACAAGATACGGCTTACTGACAGGAACTGCATCGGAAACATAATCACATAAGGCAGTGATGTTCTAGAAGTGCAACAATGTTAATTTTATTTGATACGTTTTATAGAGTCATTTTAACCTGAATTTTCCATTTCTAAATAACTTGTAGAAAACATCATCATACCCACAGGTGGGACTCTTACCTTGGACAGTCAGATATACGTAATAGTAGTAAACTATAGGCTCATCTTCGATGTCATAGAAAGCCTGACAGGTGAACAGGCCATGTGCAGCCAGAGGCAGTTTCTTGATGCTTATTGATGCCGTGTTTGGGAGGATCGTCACTGGTCCGACCGTCTGAGCTAACTTCTGGATCCTTGGTCCTTTCCCCAAATTGTAGAGCACTGCTTTGATGGCATCAGTGCCTGGCTCAGTGAAACTCCATATGTATAAATCAGGTAACGCTGCTCCACATTCGAGAACCACAGCTTTGTCCACAACCCCATACACACTGGCATTCTGATACACCACCTCTCCAGTGTGATTTATCTGAAGGGCTGAAGGAGAGAAATGACCCCATGTTTTATTAGTAAAATGCGTTTGTTTGTATGAAGGAAACAAAGATGGAGGTGTCATGTGCCTTGCCTATGTTCAACTAAAGCCATATTGATTACACACACACACAAAATTTTGTTTTACAGTTATGTAAGCTTATGTATAGGTATGAGACTCTGTATATGCTACCAATGTGTACCATGTATTATTTTCCAGTCATGAGTAAACTAAAAGAGAATAGCATATGAATTTAAACAGAAGAGAACTTTTGTTATTGTGAAATTACATGAGAGAGACAGATATATAGATAGATAAAACACTTACCGAATGTTGCTAAAACTAATAAACTTGTTGAAAGAAATACAAATTCCAGCTCTAGCACTCGGGCCACCATTGTATCATGATGATTCTTTGTCCATTGATCCAAAAAATGGGAAAGACATTGAAGGTTGAAGAAAAAAAAATCTACTGTCTAGTACATCCTTTCTGCGCTAGAATTGTGTTTCTTTGTCTCTCCTTATGATTGCTGAAAGCACAAAGACTAAATTTAAAAACTTGATTTTGCCTCATTCAGTCTTGTTTTTTGTTTTCTCTGCCCATCTTTCCCCCTTTCTTTTCCCTCAGGGTTAGGATAACACGAGGATCACAAGCTCATCTATTATGCAAGACATTTGCATGGGTGAACGGCTCAGACTTCCACACACACGCATACTCATGCATAAATGTACATACCTGCACATTACCTAACACAAGCAGGGGCAAAACCTATTTCATAAAGGCAAACAAACATGAATTAAACATCTGACAAGGCTCATTCTTTAAGGATTCATACCTAGTTTTGTGGTCAAACTTAAAGTTTTTTCATCAGTAAATGAAGAGTACATCACAAATACAAACCTTTCTAGAAATGCTAGAAAAGTATTAATCTTCCCACATTTCTGATGTGTTGTTGATGTGACAGTCTTTTACCATTTTTGTTACCTACCAGATATTCCACCAGCGACTCCAACAACATAGAAGATGTTGCTCCAACAAGAAGGAAACCTGAACAACACATGTAGAGTAACAAGATATTCAGGAATTATTGCAAAGCATGGCTAACCATTGGGTGACAATGCTAAACTAGGCATCATTGAAGGAGACGTTTTTACACAAACCCTCTGAAAGTCTTCTAAGGTCTTTAAACCATCCATCCAACTGTTCAAAAAACTGTCCGTCTGCGAAAAAACTGACCATGATCATATCAATATTCTAAGGAAAAAAGTTAACAATAAATGCAGCTTAACAGGTTGGTAGTTTAAAAAGTTAAACACAATTATTATTAGTAGTCTGCGTTTTAAAATAAGCAGAGAATTGTCTGACAGAAAAGGAACACTTATTCTCTTTAAGCAGTAACTCTGCAGCCTGCAATATTATTAGGCCTCAAGGCGCTCCACTGAGTTTCTGTCAACGATTAAACAAGCTTGAACTGCATGTTGACATATTTGATGATTGTATTACTCTGAAAAAGGATAAGACCGTGCATGCATGCAAAAGACTGAAGTGAGTTTCCTCTGCAGGGTGTTTGGGCTTGATTGAATTCTCACACACATAGGGCCAAGTAGAGAGACCATTAAGCTGTTAAGTCATATGCAGAGATAATCCTTACATGTGTGGGGAGAATATGCCAACACCAAAAGAGTAAAATAATGTATGTGTTTCTGTCTAAAGAAAGGATTTGTGGGGAAATGCTTTTTGAGTTGATTGTTTAGTAAAAAGGTTGCATAATGTCCAAAAAGACACTTAAAAAAAGCCATAAATTGTTCATGTGATCATTTTAATTTATTTGCTAAAATTGTCAACATTCATCCAACAACACCAGATATCAACAATAGACCATCACTTTTATAAACTCCCTTGGAATATAAAGATTTTTTTCTCTTCATTACAAAGAACAAACCATAAAAGATACAAAATACAAGTACAGAAGTACGGTTGACCATGAGACAATGCCAAGACCTTACATAAAAGGATTGTATCTAAAAACAACAGGAACACAGTGCGAAACCAGAAATCACAGGAATTAATGTAAATTGATGATAAATGTTTTTTTTCTTTTTTTTTTATATAAAAAAACATATGGATGTGGATAAAGTAAGGAGAGTAAACAACATCAAGGTAATCCTTTGATTACCATCAGTAACATTTTCTTAACATTGTTCATTCAAACAGGCATTCTCTACCCTAAATGTTGAATATGAGCACAAGATTCCCTTTTAACATTAAACATTAAGACAAAGAAAGACATAGCAAGAGAGAAGACATCATGAAAGTCCAGCAACAAAATGTTCAGTGTCCCAGATGTCCATATCAGATCTGCTGCCTGATAGTCCATCTAGCTTCAAATAAGGTTCACCAAACCTTTCCTAAAGATATATGTTCAGGTTCAAGAAGTTTGGGCTTGTGACATGATGCCGCTTCAGACGTATTGCTCTTTGGGGAAAGTATATGGCCCAACTCCAGGCGGAGGAGATGACAAACCCGGCACAGAGGGGTATTTAAAGACGGCTGTGGTGTGAGTCGGTGGAGCAAAAGTGTTTTTTGACGGGGTGCTGGCACTGCTGGTGCCCAAAACAGGCATCGTTTGTGAAGGGTGGTACGGTTGCTGGGGTAGAAATGAAAGAGGAGGGTTGATCGGTGGGGAGTAGGGTTCTGGATAATCCTCCTTGTTACAAGCAAGTCTGTAGCTCACATAGTCGGCTGTGTTTGGAAGTTCCTCATAGAAGCGTCCAGCATGCTGCAGAGAAACAAAATCAAAGTGTTAAAAGTCAAAAACCCATTATCTGTGTTGTTTTTCTTTTGCTTGATAGTAGTGTGGCAGGAAACAAAGGTATTCTTGAGTTTAGCCCAAGTGAGATACAAATTCACCCAGACATATCAAACATGATTTCAAAATCTTTTTGCCAAACTTTATAAACTACTTCAGAAATTGTAATATAAAGGAACAAGAAATTTTGTCACAGACCAACTCTACAGTGAACTAAAGCATTGAAATAAACATTAAAATAATAATAATAATAAATACTACCTTTACTGATTTCTTTCCTACAGAATGAAAAATGTGAATTTTATGGAACATAATGTCATGTCACATCTGTAAACAATGTGTTTTGCTTGAGAGGTGCCTCTGTTATGTATAGCGTATGTATATTAGAATTAAAAATGTAAAATTCAACAGCATTAGAACAGGTTATGACCTTTTACTGAGTGCTTGTTTAAGGCAATTTTATGACAATATTCCACAAGGGGTTACAAGCAAAGTGGTGTGAAGTAAGCCATGTTTAACCCTATAAGTCCTAAACTGAGTGGTGATAATCTAGTCAAATTTGCAGCACCATAATTCTGTCACACTTTGCACTATCTGAAAAATTTCAAAGGTTTCTGAAAGGAGAGACGTTGCGCTTTATGGCCAATGTTAGGTTATGGTAATTTCACCCCTGCTGTAGCAGGGAGTGAGTTTAATACATCAGGGGGAACTTTTAATAGTAAATTACGAAAATAACTTGGTAAATATTGAAAGTTCCAGTTAATATGTATTAAAATGGCAATATATATTTACTCACAGAACATTTAAAGAATTGTGTACAATTAAAATAAGCAACAAAAAAAATCCAGGTGGAGATTTTAAATGTAGGACTCAAAGGTTTAATACACAGTAGGTGCAGCTGGAAAGAGCTTGATTAATGTCCAAAATGGCTTTCGGTAATGGAAGTTTTAAGTTTAGTGCTCTTTAATCTTTTTGTCCTCATAAAGCAACATAAAAAGGTAACATTACAATATGGTCATAATATATAGCACAGACTGGTTTGAAGCCCTGAAATTTGAACATTTCAAACACAACATGCAGGTTACCTGAAAATCATCTGGTCTTTTTCTGATGGGTTGAGGCAGTTTTCTGGATGGTGAGTCACCTCTGATCAAAAAGCATTAGGGAGAGAAAGTAAAACATGTAAAAATTAACGGGAATCGCCTTGAGAAAAAAACTAATATGTAACAATCTGAGATTACGTTTACATACGAGGAGCTGTCTTTCCTAGTTCTTATTTTGAGCACCAGGACTGTGATAGTAATGCCCATCAGGACGCCAGCAGCCAGTAATAAGGCGATGACACTGATGACGTCTCCAGTTGCAATCTGGGGTAGAGGCTTTTCTGCAAGAACAGCAAATACACAAGTAAAAGTTTTTCAATAGCTATTAGAAAATAAGAGCCCTATTGATCATTCAAAATTTAAATAAAAATATTTATATACGCATATCCACTAAGTCAGTGTAAAATCTTCACATTCAGCCTCATGCAAACCCAAAACAGTGTGCCTCTGACGCTTCTTCAAATCAACTAAATAAGAGACGTACTCCCGCTGCCTTACCTAAAACACTGACTTCGACAAAGGCAGAGCTGGTCCCGATGCTGTTGGTCGCGTCACACACGTATGTTCCTTGGACCTCGTATGTGACTGGCCCTTTAAACAGGAGGACGTTGTCTCGGATTTCGACATTGCTCGGAATGGAGCTGTTAACCCTGCAGTTGCAAAAAAAAAATCAAGAAATGCAAGGTAAGAGTAAAAGCTGGTTTCTAGATAGTAAATGTTGCCTTTAGTATCAATTTAGAGTAGTATTTAAAAGCGTTAATTCAAATAAATAAGGAATTGGTCTGACTCAAAGCCTCCTGCAAATTCAAATTTCTATTTATCTTGGTGTTTAAACTTTCCAGTGGAAGTCTTCAACATGACTTAATCAAGAAAATTGTAACTGGGGTAATGCTACTGGAAATTTCACTTCAAGGCAAAAACAAGCAGGAAGGCTCAAAATCATAATTTTGGATATTGTAAGTAAGAAGATTCCTCCACCTGTCCAACTAATCAACAACATGACGACCAAGTTAAGTTGTGGGATAGATTAGTAGAGGTTATTTTGATTTTACTGATGCTGAGAAAATAAATAAGCTTCCCTAGAATAACCCATGAGTATACTGAAAAGTTAAGCTTTTACTCCACAATGTTTTCTTCCATCGCATCACTATATCTGTGTTGTGTCAGGTAAATCTATCCTGACAGTAATCTGGTATAGAAACAAATGTGATTGTTCGAAGAAAAAATACTAAATCTGTGTAAGTGAAAACTTACAGTCTCCACTGGTACAGAGAGACAACTGGATTGGCGTCG